TGACTTCGTGTCATTTGACACCAACTGTTGATACAGAAGTCTCAAATACATTCGTATATATGTAAACCACACTTTTATATTCGAATTTGACACAAATTACACGTTTCACAAACAATCTTTTCTAACTACAGTAGCTTAAAAGAGACTTTCAAGTAATTTTGTTCACACGTCTGTCGCTCTCCTACTAGACAGGACAGGTAAAAAATACATTATAATTATAACTAACTCCGTTGTACATCACCAACAATTGTTATACAATAAAACATTGCTTTAAACATATTTTTTAGTTTATGAAATTATTTCAAAAAGCAGGTCCAAGGAAATCTCTTATCATGAAAATTATTCTCATAACGACGCTGCTGTTAACGGCCATAACTACAGCTTCTCTTCTGGATGGCAGAACAGCGATTGTTGACAACGCCACTACTACTAACTATAGATTGCCAAATAATTCACTCCCAATTTCATATTCTATCAGATTGATACCGTACATCATCGTAGACAATTTTACATTCGATGGAGAATCAACGATTGAACTTGAGGTTCTAAAATCAAGTTCTTCGATAACTCTTCACATACTAAATCTTACTATAGACGAGACTGCAACATCTTTGGTGTCCAGTGGTAATAAAAACCACAAAATAGCCAGTCATACTTACGATACCAAAAAACAATTTTTGATTTTGAAATTCGCCACCCATTTGCCAACTGGAAATTACACACTGTATTTGAAGTACGTTGGTAATTTACCCAGTAACATTTTGGAAGGTTTCTACAGATCCTCTTATACCAATGACAATGGTCAAACTGTGTACGTATATCATTACTGTATCTCAGTCTATATGTTTTATTAGAGCTATATTAGTTTGTACAATATGTTTCCAGCTGGTTGGCTACCACACAATTCGCACCAACCGCAGCACGCCGAGCTTTCCCCTGCTGGGATGAACCTGCACTCAAAGCTACCTTTACTATTTCTATTAAACACGATGTTAACTACACGGCGTTATCAAATATGCCAGTTGCCAATCAATCGGCAATCGACAAGACTGATAACAAATTATGGACAACTTTCAAAACAACACCCATTATGTCAACATACTTGGTGGCTTTTGTAGTTTCCGATTATGGATACGTTAGCAACGGGAACGAAAGATTCAGAGTTTGGTCTCGCAAAAATGCTCTTCGCGGTGCAAGTTATGCATTGACTCAAGGAGAGTCAGAGTTAAAACATTTAGAAAAATACACATCGATTCCGTTTGCTTTACCAAAAATGGATGAAATTTCTATCCCAGACTTTTTCTTCGGTGCTATGGAAAACTGGGGCTTGGTTACCTATAGGTAATATTATAAACGGTTGTTTATTATATAATTTCCACATAACTTCTATAATTAATACAGAGAATCAGAAATGCTATACGAAGACGGTGTAAATTCAACATTTACAAAACAAAATGTTGCAAAAATTATTTCTCATGAAATTACTCATCAATGGTTTGGAAATCTTGTCAGTCCATCCTGGTGGAAATATCTTTGGTTGAAGGAAGGCTTCGCAACTTATTTTGAATTTTACATCACGGATCAGGTACAATTCTTAAAAATTGTCCAAACTCATCATTTAACACTAAACCTACCAGAGCGGTCAAATAACCGCTTTTGAGATTTTAATCAAAATTGTTAAATTCCAGGTTTTTATTTTTCTTGAACTTACTGCACGACTATGCTAAATTCTGTATTAATTACAATCAACTGGAAAAGACTATAATGTTTATTTCAAAAGCGGTCGTTTGACAGCCATCGGTAGAAATAGGTATATATAATATGCCGGTAGGTTTAGTGTTAATTAATCATATTTAACTGCTTTAGGTCGAAAAAAATTGGCACTTAATGGACCAATTCATAGTGCGTTCTTTACAAGAGAATACCCTTATAGCAGATTCTTCCGACACCACACATCCCTTGAATCAGGATGCATCGACTCCGGAAGAAATTAAAGCACTTTTAGATACAATTACTTACCGCAGATTCTTCCGACACTACCCATCCTTTGAACCAGGATGTATCGACTCCAGAAGAAATTAGTGCACTTGTCGATTTCATTACCTATCAAAAAGGTACAATTGTTTTTGATAAATAATTGATTTACGATAACAATTATCAAATAACACTTCTCTATGCACGTAGGGGCTGCTGTGATTCACATGATGTCCAATTTCCTGACGCCCCCCATCTTTCGCGCTGGACTCACCAGATACTTAAATAATAAGTAAGTTTCTTAATTTTTAACCGAAAAAAAGTGGATCACAATTTGGATGATCCTGAGCTCTTTTCTCAATATTATTTACAGTGCCTATAAGGCGGTCACATCCGATGACCTGTGGAGCGCTTTACAAGAGGTATCTGACGAATATGAAATTCTGCCGCCTGAGATTTGCCTTAAAAAGGTGATGGACACTTGGGTCGAGCAGCCTGGATTTCCACTGATCACTGTCACCAGGGATTATAAAACTGGAAAAGCTAATATCAGTCAGGAACGATATTTTCAATCTGGTGCTAGTGGTGACGGTACCAGATGGTGGGTTCCTATCAGTTACACAACTCAGTCTGATCTAAACTTTTCATCAACATCGCCTCGCGAGTGGATCCCTCAAGCGAAAAATAATATAGTCCTAAACGGATTTAAGCCAACTGATTGGACCATTTTCAACATAAAAGAATCAGGTAAAATAACCCTTATCAACTTATACCAACGGATGTTGTATTAAATACAAAACTTACATGTGTTGATAACCTATTCGAAATCAATCAACAGGTTACTATCGTGTCAACTACGATAAAAAAAATTGGAAATTAATAACTAGTTATTTGGACAGTGACGATTATGTAAACATTCATCCCCTCAATCGTGCACAAATTATCGATGATTCTGGTAACTTGGCTCTTGCCAACCGTATCAACTTTTCTATATTTTTGGATATTTCGGTTTATATTCGTCGTGATATTGATTACGTTCCGTGGCGATCGATGTTGACCGTTAGTAGTTATTTGTATCAAAAATTAGCAAACACAAGAAGCTTCTCGTTATTCAAGGTACATATAGGACTGGGATTTACTTAGTGTTGAAGAACTTAATATAGTTTAATCAGTGATCATTCTAATTATAGAGATTTTTCGTGGAAAGTTCTGAAAAATCCATTGCTGCTGTCGGATATATCCAGCACGACAATGACGAACATCTTGTAAAGTTTCAAAGAATAAATATCATAACGTTTGCATGCTTATACGGCAGTGCAGAATGTAGATCCAATGCAACTGCAATACTGGCTGCATATTTAGAAGATCCAATTGCAAACCCGTAAGTTTTGACGTGATCTGTATAAGGATTTAATTCCACAAAAATCTTGTAATATCATTCATTTTAGGATATCGCCTGATTTGAGAGATTGGGTTTTTTCTTCTGGAATCAAGAATGCAAATGCAACTGTCTGGAACATGGTTTTAGATCTTTATGCAAAGAGCCCTTCTCTCACCGTAATTAATTATCTTGGTCTTTCCGAAGACGAAGAAATCTTGACAAACTACATGAAACTGGCAACAACAGATAATTCGACGATACTGAAGGAGCATGCATCTGATGCGTTCGCGTCCATTTATGATGGCAGCGGTGATAATATAAACTTCGCCTTGGACTACCTCATCGACAATTTCGACAAATTATATGAATTGTAATTAACTGTTTACTCCGTGTCTTCTTGACTTCTACATATAGAATTATACAAGCACAAACTGTTTACTTGTTGCAGCTGGGACCAACCAACAGATGAGATGATTAGGCATGTTTCTGCGTTTGGTAACCTCTTAACAACAAGAGAACAGCTCACGAAGGTTTTTATCGTCAACTATTATACAACCAGTAATTTTATATATATGGGATAGCAGGCATTACTTATTCTTTTTTTATTACTTTCAGTTGAAAGCTTTGGTGGAAAAGCACAGTGATGTATTCGGATCTGATGGACAAACTGCAATCGCCAATGCAGAATCTAACGTCAAATGGACTGATACTTACGAACCAGTTTTCTACGAATGGTTTACTAATTTCTACAAGCTGTAAGACGAAGAATCTACTTCCTGCACCGCTGTTAACGCTGACCGGCACTAACAGCTAGTAAAGGCCAAGAGTCACCGTGATTATAACCGATACTAGAGAAACATGCGTTACCTAGTATCATAATGTATCTAACTATGCAGTTGTCCCTTTTCGATGCAACGATTCCATGGATAAATTCACCGTCGAACGAAGGAGTTCCTAATCAAACCTCTTACGGAACAGTTATCCTTCTGGAGTCTTGGGTCAAAGATAGTAAAACTTTTAGTGGCTTCGTTTTCGAATCAGTGCTGACTAAAACAGCAACATCAGGAATCCACACTCGCTTCCGCAGCAGAGATAGAAACCACTTTAGTACTTTATCTTTTGATTGATGCAACTGAAATCATCTCATCAGCACGGAACATTCCAATAAATGATATTTCTGCATCACCGTTTTCATCGTTCTCCCCAGTCTTATCATTACGTACCGATAATTTTTTATTACCCTATCGAGTAGCCCCTTCACAACCATAACAGTCCATGTAAAATTTACACCAGTGCAGCTGCCAAGGATACCAACGTTGGCGCAGATTTGGCGCCCAAGATCGGCAGATCATTGGTTCAATGTAGTAATCATAACAACGGACCAATCTTCATCCGGCACTACTGGGAAATTACTGGGTTCACGAGACTTCGAAGAGTTGTCTTTCGACGTCGATCCAGTACCAAAGACTGAGCATTGGCGAAATACTGGCTATTATTTGCACTCGACACTTTCAACTCATATTTACGTTTTATTTAATTATATTTGACACAGGAAATGTGTATTATAACGTTAGACATTGACCAATCTCTCAGGTACTCCTGCAGTGAGAGCAAACTAGCTAGAAACAAACATCAAGGACAGTCCGATAGTGTCGAAACGGCCGGTAGACAGTAAAACTTCTCTCGAAAGTCAATCAGCTGAATATAATAGTATAATAACAATAAGGAGTGAGAAAAACGCAGCGATCTTCCTCAGAAACTTCAGTTTACGCCATTTCGGTTTCGATCTATTATCCTCGCTGTGACTCGTCAATTTTCACGTAGTGCCATAACAAGAGACTTGTGAGGAATTCCTTGAACCTGATGATGCACTGAAGATTGCAGCGATGATTACGAAATTCTCTGGGCTTTCATGAAATTATTGATTACATTTTGTGAGATGAAGATGAGAGCGAAGCGGTACCGTGTCTTGTTTTTATACAATAAAAAAACGGCTGTGTTCGAAATCACAATGCAATTTTGAATAACGTTCAGATTCATCATTGGACCAGTACTGGACCCATAATCTGCCAGCGCTGGACCAACTACAGACAAATGACAATTGATAATCATCGTAATGCCAACACTGTGCCGATTTTGAGCAGTTGACACCAGGCCGGAATTTTTACATGGGAAAGCTCTTAACAGCAGCTAGATTTTTTCGAAAGACCAATTGTCAGCAACAGGTTGTCCAGTTTGGAATAGAGTTTTTTAATTTGATCTGCCTCAGAAGTAGAGGCCTCAACACAATATTCTTTCGCTAATAAACTTAAACAGCTGAAGCTATTCATTACCGTTGTCAATACGTTGCCTCAGGAAAATATAAACGCGGACAAAAAGAAGGGTTCAGATATTGTTACTCATTCCGAGATTTTCAAAGAGCATGTAACAGCAAAACATGTTTTATGGAAATAATGCCTACAGTTGACATGCCTAATGCCTGACAGCTGTGGTGACACCTGTACTGACATATTCGAATGTAAACCCGGATTCAAGAACAAGAGCATGTAACAGCAAAACATGTTTTATGGAAATAATGCCTACAGTTGACATGCCTAATGCCTGACAGCTGTGGTGACACCTGTACTGACATATTCGAATATAAACCCGGATTCAAGAATAGAAAACTCAAACAATTGAACAGCAAACGTAACAATGTTTTGTGGCCTCACGTGACACGCCAGTTCCAAGCCCTTACAACCTGCCATTAGGCTGTAAATGTTCGTAAACTTTTATTTTCTTTATCACATAACTCATGTGAACAACAATATTAATATTATGTACCTACAAGTTGTACCACGCCTATTTTCAAGCACAGCGTGGCAATGTCAAACAGTATGTCCACTAACTGTAACACGTATTATGCACAGCGGTGAAACAATATACTCAGAGGATAGATTGATCACAACAATGCTAGAAAGTAAGCACAGATGCACGACTGTATTTTATCAGCAACGACAGCTAGCTCACATCTCCTGATTGGACACCAACTGTTGATACTGAAGTCTCAAATACGTATCATAATTATATGTACATATGAAATACTTTTACGAAAGAAATTAAAAAGAGCTACACGTGTCACAAACAAACTTTTCCAACTCCAATAGCATAAAAGAGACGTTCGGGTAATTTCGTTCACACGTATATCGTTCTCCTACTGGACAGAACAGGTAAAGAATACATTAGAATTATAACTATTTCGGTTTACATCGTCGATTATTATTATACAATAGAAACACTGCCTTAAACATACTTTTTAATTTATGGGATTATTTGAAAAAGCAGGTCCAAGGAAACCTCTTACCATGAAGATTCTTTTGATAACGACCCTGCTGTTAGCCGCCGTAACTACAGTTTCTCTTGCGGATGGCATTGAAGCGATTGTTGGCAATGCCAATGACACTAACTATAGATTGCCGAATAATTCAGTGCCAATTTCATATTCTATCAGATTGATACCGTATCTCGTAGACAATTTTACATTCGATGGAGAATCAACGATTGAACTTGAGATTCTAGAATCAAGTTCTTCGATAACTCTTCACATAGTAAATATAACTATAGACGAGAGTTCAACATCTGTGGTGTCCAATGATAATGTACACTACGATATAAACAATCATGCTTATGATAACACAAAATCCTTTTTAATTTTGAATTTCTCCACCGTTTTGCCAACTGGATTTTATACACTATATTTGAAGTATGTTGGTCTCATAATGTATTCGGATTTTGGTGGTCTCTATAGAACTTCTTATACCAAGGACGACGGTGAAACCGTGTACGTATATCATTATTTTATATTAGTCTGTATTACCTAAGAGACATATTAATTTGTACATTATGTTTCCAGCTGGTCGGCTGTCACACAATTTGAAACAAGTGTAGCGCGCCGAGCTTTCCCCTGCTGGGACGAACCTGCACTCAAAGCTACCTTTACCATTTCTATTAAACACGATGTTAACTACACGGCGTTATCAAATATGCCAGTTGCCAGTCAATCGGCAATCGACAAGACTGATAACAAATTATGGACGAATTTTGAAAGAACACCCATCATGTCTACATACTTGGTGGCTTATGCCGTTTTGGATAATGGATACATCAGTCACGGGGACGAAAGATTCAGAGTTTGGTCTCGCGAAGATGATCCTCGTGATACAAATTATGCATTGACTCAAGGGGAGTCGATGTTAAAATATTTAGAAGAATACACGACGATTCCGTATACTTTACCAAAAATGGATGAAATTTCTATACCGGACCCTTCCGTTACTACTTTTGAAAAATGGGGCTTGATTATCGGCAGGTAATATCATAAACGTTGGTTGATTATATAATTTCCTCTTAATTTTTATCATCAATTCAGAGAAGAAGAATTGCTATACGACGACAGCGTAGATAGGACAGTTACAAAACAAACTAACGCCCAAGTTAGTGCTAATGTAATGGCTCATCAATGGTTTGGAAATTTTGTCACTGCATCCTGGTGGAAGTATTTTTGGCTGAATGAAGGCTTCGGGGTTTATTTTCAATATTACGTCACGGACCAGGTAAAATTTTTAAAAACTGTCCAACTTCATCATTTAATTAATGATATTTAATTGCTTTAGGTGGAAGACAATTGGCGCTTTATGGAACAATTCGTAGTTCGTATTTCACAGGGAAGATCCTTTATTGCTGATTCTTCCGAAACCACTCGTCCCTTGAATCAGGATGTATCAACTTATGAAGAAATTAATGCACTTTACGATTCAATTACCTATGGCAAAGGTATAACTGTTTTTCAGAAATAATTGATTTACGAAAACAATTATCAAATAACGCTTCTCTATGCACGTAGCGGCTTCTGTGATTCACATGATGTCCAATTTCCTAACTCCCCAAGTCTTTCACGATGGACTCATCAGATACTTAAAGAATAAGTAAGTTTCTTAACTTTTAGCACATTTATGATGGTCCTGAGCTCATTTCTCAAAATTATTTACAGTGCCTATAAGGCGGTCACGCCCGAT